TTACAGCTACTTTCGCTTAACTCACAGAGAAGAAAGAGGTGTACTAACAGTGTTTGGACAGAATATCCTGTCTGCTTCTTGAACAATAGATAACCACTAAGAAGATAACAATGTACAGTGTATTGACTATCAAAACTGTCCTATTAATCAGCTGTGAAACTGTCTCATTCATATTTATTTCTCAATAAAAAAAGGAAATTAGCATGATTGATTTAATTACAGTTCTCTTAAGACTCACTAGGTGTCAGATACTATGACAAATTAGTTATATATATTACCTACCTAGATCCTAGATGATACCTTAGGCTGAAATGAGTAGTAGTAATCCTATTTTACAGATAAAGAAGTTAGAAGAGATGACCTGATGTCACAGATCTCTAACTGGCAGAGGCAGGATCCAAATACAGGATGATCTAAAGCCAAAAGCCATATTCACAATACAGTCATGTCTTCACACAAGTGAGAAAATATCTCCTTTCTCAGGCCATTTTACTTCTTTCTATTGGAAAACTGTCAAAACATACTCAACTTGTTAGGAAAGACATTTTATTGCCATTCTTTATTTTATTTTATTTTTTGCCATTCTTTAGAAGAGTATCATAATAAATACACAAGTATACCAGATCGATACTATCAATAGAGTCTTCAAGGTCTTGAAGTTCTCAACCTGCACAAATAAATATATCTATTCCAGGGATTAAAACAAATAACAACAAACAGACTTGTAATGGCTAAGGCATAAAATACAAATAGAATAGAAAAACAAATTAGGAGCACTGTCCACAAAAAAAGTACAATCAGTAGATAAGGTAAAATTAAAACAAAAAAAGCTATAGATCACAACTGTGTATGGTGGCATCATCCCCCAAATCCCAGCACTTAGGAGGCAGCAAGAGTATCACAGGTTCAAGGCCAGCCTAAAGTACAAGGTAAAGTCCTGTCTCAAAAAAACAAAACAAAAAAGGACAATATAAGTAAAACCATACACACACAGTAGTATACAGAAATAGGAGTAATTGTAGGAGTTAGTATGAATATACACAAGCATATAGAGGATAGAAAGTTCTAAAAATCACTTTTTAATTTTTTTTTCCAAACCTCAAAGTAACTAAATCAAAAAGAGCAGGAATCACACTCTCAGTACAAAATGAGGAAACTCTGGAATCAAGTCAAAAACTTACAAAAACCAGGGAAAGGCTAGTAAAGAAGGAAGCTAACACTCTTCACACAGGATGCTATGACTTTAAATTTCCTGCCTACCATCCCTTGACCTCTAGGTTGACAGCAATCATGAAAATAGCACCTCACATTTCCAGAGTTGACACTGCTGAGTAGAACAGTTCTGGACTTGTCTGCAGTTCCCTAAAGAACTACAGCAAGGGTTTGTTTTCCTTCATACAACCTGGATTATTCCCAAGAACAGGGGAGCTTCCCAGGCAATATTTGCCAAAAAGGAAAAGTATGAGACACAGCAGCCATGAGCAAGGACAATGGGACAAGACAGACACAGAATAAAATGCCTAGAAAGGAACATTTTGGGAAAGGAAACAAGAAGGCAAAAATTTTTTCTTAAGAACATCCTAAGTTTCCACCTCTGGGCACCATCCAAACAATAAGTAAATATTAAGGTAGAAAGAGAATTCAGGTATGTATATGAACCAACTTCCCACAATGAATGTAATCATTATGCACTATAAACATGTATTAATAAAATCTTTTAAAATATTTTATATTTGAATTTTTAAAAAATTATCACATTAAAA